AGATTGAATGCAGTTGAACAAATATAAGATAAACTACGTAGTATATTTCTCCTAAGGGAAGGTGACCCAAGTTTGAAAGAGGATCCATGGGCAGGTGAGTCACCAGTACGTGACGCTACATATGATGTTACCGCCCTATGCTCCCATGTGCAACCTCTACCACCCATAGACAGGGTGTCCTACGAACCCTTAGAACCTAACACTAAGTTAGACTTTTCTGGGTTACCTTTCGCATACCATCTTTCCCTTGTGAAATAACGCCTTGTTATCTTAACGTAGCCCAGGATGTTATTCTTCTTATACAGCTCTCTGGGTTTTATGTTGTATGCAAGTGTCTTCCTCATTTTTATATTCTTCTTTGTTCTCTTCCGTAAGTTATTCCAATATTGTCTTAATAGAAAATCTTTATTTCTTCACTATGAACATTTTTGTGTCGTTTTGGAAGAAGTTTCTTATAGGCGTATTTATATTTAGCTACATAATTAGAGTATTGAAGTAATATTCAATAAAATTGATGTTAGTCTAAAATTTATCTTTTATTTAGATATAAGATAATTATTTAGCGTTTTGTGATTGGTTTCTGTTGAAATTGTTCTTTTTCCAAAATCACTTTATTAGGTACCGCTCAAAAAGATCAACCTAGTTTATGATATTTGCAACAATGAATAATATGAAAAAATATTACAAATGTGATAATGTACTGGGATAAGGTGCGTAAATTATGAAAAAGGCATCTCCTTATCGTGCAACTGAAAGTTGCTGTGGTTTGCGCCATCTATCGGAATAAATAATTTTTTACCGTGGTTAGCTTTTCTTGAATATTTATTATATCAAGAATGGGTATTTGGCCAATTCTGGAATAATAAAAAATCAAAGAGAATAGTTGATATTTATTCCGATAGATGGCGCAAGTAATTAGCAAAATTCAGTTGCACGATAAGGATATGCCTTTTTCATAATGAATAATAAGTGAAGGTTATTCACATATTAAACAAAAAGTTAACGTGGGATTCAATCCCGGTTCATGGCTGTCGGGAATCGAGGGTTTTACCCATTCGTCCACCGACATTACCTATCGGTTGAAATTGCTCAGAATGTAATTATGCCTATCTATTACAAAGAGAAAAACTGGATGTACTGAAGTCATGAAACTATGAGAAGCTTCCAAAATAAGTATTGCCAACCAAAAATGTGATTTTTATATAAAACCAACTAAATCCTTCCCAAAATAAAAAAAAATAAAAATCGAATTATTTCTAAAAATAGAACCCAACGACAACAAACAACGAATCTTGTTGACAACCAGGTGTCAAACACACGACGAAAGATTAAAAAACTGGATTTTTGAAGAAAGAAAATGGTTAAAGAATCTAGCACAAGACAAACATGGTGGAGGAATATCTCTGGGCCCAGTTAATGGTTATTGATGGGCTGAGATGGATCGACAGAGAAGAAAAAAATCCAAGTCGCTGGGACTTGATCCCATCCTAACTTGGAGTCCAATTTCCTTAAGAGTAGCATTACACTCCCTCGGTGTCTAATATGGAAATTGGTTACTGGAATTTCTGCAGAAATCTTTTGCTTAGAATCTTCCCCTGTCTATCTTATTCTCACGCCATCATTCTTGTAAATCTTTGTTGACATTTTAAAATTACTGTTAGATATATCTTAAAATGTTTAAAAATTTTATGTTTTATAAGCTAAATTATGTTTTATTTGTACATGTAAATTGAATATTTGGATTAAATTTATGTCAGTTATCTATTAAATCTTTTGAGTTCCATTGAAGGAATTGTAATTTAGATTTATAATGTGGATCTAGAGAGAAGAATAGAATCGTTTGGATTGGCAGAAAGATTCGAGAATAAAGAACTCTTAAGAAAAGTTTAAGAAGTAACTAGACCTTTTGAAGTTCATCAGAAAAAGACAATAATTAGATAGATCATATCGACTTTGGAATTGAACGCAAAGACCAAAGGCCCTACATGTGGATCGGTAATTACACTCATGGACAGAACTTAAGGAAGTTGTACCTTTTAGCATGTATATCGGGATTCAGACAATAATTCTGAAATATATTACAGTGACCTTTATTGATGACACACGAGATAACCAAGTGTGAACAGAATTTTCTCTGTCCCAATCGGCAACATCTCAATATGAAGCTTCCTTAAGCTATGCTCATGAGTGTATTTCTCATTTCTGGATAACAATACAGGTCCCCTGCTATGGCCAGAAAATACCTTCAATAACATATTTTCGAATCGCCTTGAAAGATCACAAGACTTAAATCAAAGAAAACCTAAATTTGGAACATTGTTACATTTCAATCTACTTCCTAAATGTTCGAACGAAATCTAAAAAGCCTTTCTGTCACAATGACCATCAATCCATGCTGTATATTTAGGACGAAAGAGGCGATAAATGGTATCGAGTTGGCTAATCCAGAGATGCCGACGTAGCGATGGGAATCAGGTGATCTAATTCCGGGCAGGATCATCAATTCCAGTAATGAGGCAGGTTGTCTAGATCGTGACGGATTTTAGACAGTATTTCTAGGCTTGTCACGCTGGCCTGTCCCTGGTGACAGCGTCTTGAGAGCTTGTTCGCATGTAAAGATATGCAAATTCGTTGCCCTGAATATTTTTCTCTCAGTACGTGACATTCCTCTAATTTATTGAAGATGGCAGAACCTCTCCTTAACTTGATAGGATCCTTCTACCTAGCATATATAACCTTCACTAAGCCTTGTTCTTTATCAATAGAAAGAGCATATTAAGAGCATATATTGAACCAATCTTTACCGAGTTGCATATCACAAACATGCATAATTTTCTTCAAATAAAAGATACTTAGGCCAGTAAATCTTTTTTATTGTCTCGACGTTTCAACAAAAATCTTTTGTCCTCGTCAGGAGCGAACAAAAATTAAAACATTTCTAACGCTTTGCCAAATGTTTTAATTTTTGTTTGCTCCTGACGAAGACAAAATATGTTTGTTGAAACGTCGATACAATAAAAAGATTTACTGGCCGAAGTATCTTTTATTTGAAGAACTATGAATGCCGGCCAGGCAACCTCTATCATTATGTATAATTTTGTAAAAGAAAATAGCATAAAAGTGAAATTTTACTAGGATTAGGTGGATAAATTAAAAAAAAAAGCATCTCCTGATAGTACAACTAAAAGTTTCTGACAGCTTAAGATTTGTCCATAAGTTTATATGGAAGAAATTGTCCTAAAGTCAACATAACTTGGCTGATCCTATTATCATATTCGTAATCTATATAAAAAAAAATAGCTTAAATGTTAAGAAAATCAAAATGTAAACATGTTAAATGTATTTTCAATAGATATGGTCATTATTATGTTCTAAATATTGTTCAAAAATATTCGCTCTAATAGAATATCGAGATGTATGTACCTAAATAACCAGTGTTGCTGAATCAATCAGTTTCTGATCACAGAACACCTGATTGATCTTTTTTTTTTCTGACAAGGCTTCGTCTTTCTGGAGGGGAGAAGCCTTGCGTCAGCCGAGAAGGTAATCTGATGTACTGATTGGATCACGTGATACATCTGTCTTCTGCTACCTAATTCCCATATATACATATCTCCCCGCGGGATTAATTTCTATTTTGATAAAATATGCAAATATAATCACAAATTATAATTTTAGAACATTTTGGGATTTTGTCGTTTGGAAATATTTTTAATAAGGCACCGTTGTTCTATGATGATGAAATATATATGAAAATTTTATTATATTTCTTATAAAATGATTTTTAAAAAGAAATGTATGCAAATTTATCTTCAAATATATATTTATGCTTGTAATATTGAAAAATATTTGTGATTAAAAAGGAGAAAATTAATTTAGAAAAAAAATTGCAAAATATTTTTTTAATAGCAGACGAAATTATGAATAATCGCTAAAACTCTATGAAAATATTTTATTTTACAGATAATTTTTAAATATATGATTACATAATTTGTAATTAATAAGGTTTTTATAATTTAAAAATAAATTAATTAACGCGACGCTAAGAGAAAGTTGTTACAAAAGATTATTTTAACTAGCAGACGAACTTATTGAGGCGTGACGTCACTGTCGCCAAGAGCCGGGCGACACTCAGACTACGTTAATACTCCCGACCAATCACAGACCTTCCTGTAAATCCACCTCTCCATTTCGACGCCTAGCAACGGCTGGTCCATGGTCAAATTATTTTTATTCATAGAGAAAAATTGATTAATTGTTATAATAATTTGGAAATGCTAATTCACCATTCCCTATGTTTTTTTAATGTATATATATTTTATAACAATGGATTTCAGTTGCTAAACATTAACATATTTTTGATTAAAATTAATATTTAATACATTTTTCACAAATAAACGAGAATTACAATTTTATATTCTCTCTTTCAATATAGATTTTGAATTTAGAAATAATATTGAATGCAAATTTTACAGAAATAAAAAACTAATTTTAAAGATATTTATTCTTTACAGTATTTTGGTAGTATAAAACACGAAATGAGTTATCAATTTCTTTGCTTAATATACGAATACATATCAGAAGAAATTGATTAATTTTCAATATATTTCGTTATAGCTGGTTCTGATCGTTTCTTTGTATTCCTTTCGTAATATCTTGGAACCGTAATAACTGTCACAACACCCAACTCACTCCGGACCATATATACAGCCATCCTTGCAGCCCTCTATATGGCAGACATCAATTCAGAAGAAGACATCCATACGAACAAGGCACTTCAGTTGGCCGATATTGTGATCAGGGTGCATACTCACACAAAAGGTCTTAATAAAGCTTTTTGTTGTTGTGGTTGTGTAGTAAGAGGTCTTGAAAGGATAACTATTATAAGAATATGTGAATTAGTTCCATAATAGGCTTTCTCGGATTTTATTAGAGAGAAAACGAGAATAATTAATATATACAGTTATCAGCGTCATGCGTTCTTAATTCTGTCACCGTTTGCTTTTGGTTCAGTGGTAGAATGCTCGCCTGCCACGCGGGCGCCGTTCGATTCGCGGCCGATGCATTTTTTTTATTACAATTTTTAAAACTCATTTATATATTATACAAGAATGACATCCACGGCGCAAATTTATAATTGTAACGAATAGTATTTGAATAAAAGCATTTAATCGGGTAAACCCCGGGCGTTGCCCGGGTCATTCGGCTAGCAATAATATATCGGTGAATTTAGACCAACACTATTTCAACCAACACAAATTCAAATTTCTAGATGGTGGTGTATAGAAAGAGATCTATTCGTGATCCAATTAGGTAAAAAAAAAAACAATAAAATAAAAAGAGGTGTGCGTGTATTCTTTATTCTAGTTTAGAAATTTCCAAGTTATAATTGGGTGTATAGCAGAGAATTTCTGAGCCTAGTAACAATACAGACACAACTTATATATCCAACAATTTTAAATCCTCATTGATTTAAGTTTGAATTATTTAAGGTCATTAAAATTACGAAGATTTTGCGCAATACGTTTTATTTATTAGAAGTGTTAACTTCAAGTGAAAATTTCTCTTCGAGAGGCTTAAATAAAAACATTTTACTATTTCTAAATAGAGTGTTTTACAAGTGTACGTACTTATTGCAAAACAGACCTATTTAGAAAATTTCGATGATTTTATTTAAAAAAAAAAAGAAAGAAAGGCATCTCCTTAACGGGAAACTGAATGTCACTGATGGCTTACGCCATCTATCGGAATAAATTGCTTGATCATTTCTTGATCAACTAATTTGCATAAAATACGTGTTAGATTTCTTTGATATCAGGTATTTTAATCTATAATGGAATAATAAATTTGTGTATAAAATGTCATTGATAAATGTTAAATAGAATTTTAAATATATGAAAAAATATGTTGTTCCTTTATTTTGCGGGCCAGTGTATATATATACAGTATATATATATATATATATATATATATATATATATATATATGTAATAATATGATGCAATTGTTGTTATTACTATAATATTTGTTGTATTACACTGTTGTAGAATCCTGTCGACTTAACCGTTCTGTGGCAATATCGTTGCGGGGTTTCTTGTTGTTGGATGCGAATGGTGAGATTTGGTTGAAGCGCAGTCGTTGAGTGGTAAGTGAAGCACACAGTTAGGAATAATCAGGACACATGATGAGGTTTGAAAATAAAAGGCAACTGGATTGGAGGAAAGAAAGCTTGAGAAGAGCTGAGCGATTTGACTTATTAATTATCTGATCACATGGCGGTGATTGTACTTAGCTACGGGATGAGCAGAGGGGAAGAGGTTCAGAGCCGATGTCACCTCCTTGGGAGCCAAAGCGTAACTGCCCATTCTTGCTTTTCGATTTAACACCAAGACTCAGTTTCTCTCTGATTGGTTGAGAGATGATCACCTGATCTTTCCCTATTGGTTGACCTGTTTAGATGCTATCTTCTGATTGGCCGGCGGCTTCCTTTAGTGTTAGTTACGCCCGGCCTGGGTCAGGAAGTGTCGGGTAGCTTGACGCTTATAACTTCGACGGATATTAGATACGTCCTGTCTTTGCCGGAAATATTGGGTGTTAGTTTTAACATTTATAACTTCTGGTCACTAGATACGTCCTGTTTTTCCAGGAAGTGTTGGTTTAAACTTAGCTCGCAGGGACCTGGGGTCAGAAGGTTAACTGCGTCGTTATTAATAAATATGCTCTCCTCTAGATCTACTTTCTATGTCTTTTGTTACTTTCTTTCCTCCAGTTACCTTATTCTTTTATTACATCTTTGAAAATCATACATGATACATACATAGTGGGTCGGGGTTGCATTTAATTATATACAAATTATGACATATATATATATGTTATATATAAAAATATTATTTTCTTTCAAATTATATTTCATAGATTAAACTATTCTGTAAATTCGACCGCCAGATGTCGCCGCTTTACCTATATAAGCCTATTGTTTTTTTTCCCGATGGCCGGCTCAAATCTTTTGTACATTATGTAAATAAGTTTTTCTTTTTTTTTTATTCTTACGCCTTAAGCAAGGCATTACCTTTATCAAATTATGTTTTTTCTATATTCCATAAGTTGATTAAAGCTATTTCTAATCTTCATTATTTTTATTATTATAGTTTCAAGATTTTAACTATGACTGTGCATTGACATAGCATAATCCTCAAGATAATCAAATATCAACAGAAATCTAATTTTTTCTAACATATATAATTATTTAATTTCGTGCTTTTAAATCCTTTCATTTTATATGTATAGATGGCGCGTTATTGTTTTGTGTTAATTTATGCCTAACTGACCTTGTCTTTATTGTTTGCGGAAGAGCATTGCTCGATGCAAATATTTGAATGTAATTCTACTGTCCTATAAGCTTCTGTCCATAGTTTTCTTGAAAACCATTTCTAAATTTCAACATATCAGTGCTGCGTATATAAGCAGAATCGTCTAATACAGTATTAGAGTTCTTAGAAGCGGTCTGGTGGATTAAATTGGTGAAACCGCTGGGAGGGTTCACCACTGATGAGCCAAGCCCTCCCAATATATTTTTTCATCGCAGTAAGGACAGTAGAGGTTTGTATTGTGTATAAAAGAAACATTCGTGTTTTTAAATACTTTCATTTTATATATATAATTATGCAGTTATGAATAAATGTAAAAAATAATGTATCCTCTTATACGTTCTCAGTTTAACTCCTGTTGAAGGACAGAAATACTCGGAATCTTGGTTAAATAAAAAACCTAACAAGAAACTCTTTGACTCACGATGTTGTTCTTTTGATAATTGACTATTCCTGATGATTATCCAGCTTAATACACACAATACCTACTGAACCCAACGACACCTACAACTAGGTAACAAGACCACCCAACCCTGCTCACAAACCGACAATCTACCCCATTTTCGCAAGCCTTCCAGCGGCGAAACTTACGAAATTCAGTAGGATGGCGAAACTTTCAGAGCCTAGATCTATAAAAAGTGACCATATATAAACAAACACCCACATAAGACTTCCTTTCCCAATGTCCTTTTTAGAGATTTCAACTTTTAAACAATTTTTAACTGCCTCTTCTTGCAACATTTATCTTTTTAAATCCTTAGTTAGTTGGTCTGCAAAGGCAATGGGATTTCCATTATTTTTTTAGAATTGTTTCAAGGCTTTATATTTTAGAATTGAACTTTGCCTCTAAAATACATTTAGTTATTGTTATAATAACAAATTGTTTACATATTTACACTAGAAATTAAGGTTTGCATAAGAAAGTTAGCCCAGAAAGCTTTATTTTATTACATATTTACATATTGGTTATTACATATATATATATATATATATATATATATTATTGGTTATTAAATATATATATTATTGGTTTCAACCAATAAGTTAATTCATTATACACCTATCCCCCGATTTACACGGTAGATATGTTCCTGAGAAAAACGTGTAAATCGGGGGATAGGTGTACACAGAAATAAAAAAAAATGCATTGACAGGTTAAAATATGTAGTCAGCACATAAGCTCGGGATTCCTCGTGAGATGTGTACACAGCGCATGTGTTCAATCACAGTAGAATTTAGTATAGTGCGATAAAAACAAAAAAAAATACTTATTTGGAAAACCGTGTAAAAGCGAAAACGTGTAAAACAAGTACCGTGTAAATCGGGAGATAGGTGTACTTCTTTTGCTCTCCTCTATTCGTCTATGTAAAGAAAGATGTGATTGTTTTGAAGAAGAATGAATTGTCATTTGAATCTTGGCGTATTCTTAATATTTTTTTTTCAATGTGACAATATATTAATCGACACTATCTTGTACTGTTAAATAATAAGTAGAAGAAAGATGAGGGCATCAGTTCTGGGGAGAATCTCTGAAGTAAACACAGATATTTCCCTAATCAACAAACTCAGATATATTCTACTCAGCTCGGCCGATATACTCTTGCAGTATACACTCATGGCCATTATACCTTTTCAAAACTATTCTGAAGGCGTAAGATTTTTTTTATATTAAACAATTTCTACTGTCCTTACTGCAATGGAAAAATTAATGAGAGGGCCTGGCTCATCAGTGGTGAACTCTCTCAGCGGTTTCGCCAGTTTAATCATAATATATGGTAGATTAAACTGGCGAAACCGCTGAGAGGGTTTACCACTGATGAGCCAGGCCCTCTCATTAATTTTTCCATTGCAGTAAGGGCAGTAGAAATTGTTTAATATCAAAAAGAATCTTACGCCTTTAGAATAGTTTTGAATTTTGATAATAGATGGCGCGCTTGTGCATCATATTATACCTTTTTATCATGTATATCGGTTTTCAGAGAATAACTATGCAATATATTTGATACACAGTGACCTATATTGAAGACACATGAGATAACCAAGTGTGAACAAAATTGCCTCTGTCTCCTTAAAAAAACAGAACCCCGGAGACACAAAACTCTTCACAACACACAACACTTTCCTTAAGGTTTGTCCATTAGTGTATATATAGTGAAACGTTACACAAGCTTCCAATTTGTAATGAAGAATGTATTATAGTTGTTATCAAGTCCCGCTCTGGATAGGTCAGACGTAGCTATGTTATTTTAGGTGCTATCCTCGGTTATCTAGTGTCCGTACACGCTTGTTCGGCGAACATATACTAAAATTGGAACGATACAGTGAAGAATAACATGGTCCCTACGCAAGGATGACACGCAAAATCGTTTCTAGTGTCTCGTATATCGACAAACAGGTATCAATCCATTGTTCCCAAGTGGCTCATCATTCCTTAGACGGAAGGCCGCACAGGAAGCATCACTCCAAACCGAACATCCGGGAAACGTCATTTAGGAATTCTTGGATAACCCCGTGTCTTGTGCAACGCCACGTGCTTCCCGATACCACGAACCTTTTTTACCAGCATCTCTTATATATAAACAAACTTGGTTTTATGGCTCTAATTCCATAGGGAGCAAAAGATCCTATCGTGGACCCTTCTGTTGATCAAACATCTGTAGCGATCATTTTGAACGAAAAGATGGCCTGATATCTTCAA